TTAAAATTTTGAAAAATAGCTTTTTGGAGTTTTTAAAATTTTCAAAAAATTTCAATATTCATCTTTAAGTGAAAATTGAAAATTTAATGGTCAAACACTAATTTCGAAAAAAATTCAAAAAAAATGTAAAAAAAAAATTCATGGCCAAGCGAGCTGTAAGGTCATCTCCAACCTTACCCTATTTCTCCATAATGGGGGCAATTTTTGGGGTAATGAAGCTCCAACTCTTCCCCGTTTTTGTCCCCAAAATGGGGGATGAATAGTGTTCCCTCATATTGGGGTACACTATTCATCTCCCCCATTACTATTTATGTATTTTTTTATTATTTTATTATTTAATCTTTTAATTTATTTCTTTATATATATATAANCTGAAAAATAAAAGATGGAATTTGTTTAATGCGAATTAAAAAATAAAATTGAAATGAAAGATAATAATATAATATAGAAGAGAGAGAAGAATATAAAAAAGTTTGGGGGAATGGTTGAAGTAAGTTATTCCAAAATGGAGAAATCTAAGGACCAAAAATGGGGTAAAGGTCGTAGTCTTCCTCATTTTTTGTATACTAGATTTACAATCATTTGCCTCAAACCGGTCAAATCCCTACTCCGCGATGCCCTTGCCTCTGGAATCGGCCTCCAAACGTTCCGAATCTAACCAAAAGCAATACAATGTAATCAATATAGGCCAAGGGACCAATTCCATACGAAAAACTATCAATTTAGACCAAAATCTTGAAATTCACCCAAACCCGGTCCCCGGGACCACATCTCGGAATTTGACAAAAATTACAAAACTAGAAAACCCTTTCACTCACGAATCTACATACCAAATTCATCAAAATCCGACATCAAATGGTCCCTCAAATTCTCAAATCAAACTCTCTAATTTCCAAGCCTTAACCCCTCAATTTCATCTCTAATTTCTACTAATTACATGCTTAAACAACTGAAAATCACCATAATTACGAGTATTGAGCTCAAGCAACTTACCTCAATGGAAAACCCCCTTGATTCCCTCTTCAAAACTCTCCAAAAGCTTCAAAATCCGGATAGGAATGATGAAAATAACCCAAATTTCGCGAAGGGTTCCTTATATATCTTCTGCCAGACATCTCGCACCTGCGGCCCTTTTCTCGCATCTGCGGGACCGCTTTTGCGGTCCAAACAACCGCATCTGCGATTTCCATTGTAAGTTCCAAGACCGCATCTGCGCCCCAGGCACCGCACCTGCGGGCCCGCAGATGCGTCAAACTCACCGTATCTGCGACTCTTCTCTTAGCCCTCCAATTCCGCATCTGCTGCTTTCCTACGCATCTGCGACCCCGCACCTGCGGTCGCCAATCCGCAGGTGCGGAAACATCAGAAGCAGCAGCTTCTGCTACACAATTCCTCCGCTAACAATCTGAATTCATCCCGAGACCCTTGGGACCTCAACCAAAAATACCAACAAGTCATATATTAACATACAAACTTAGTTGAACCTTCGGAACAATTAAAACAACATCAAAACACCAAATTACCCTCGGATTCAAGCCTAAGAACTTCTAAACTTCTAAATTTCGCAAACGATGCTGAAACCTACCAAACCTCGTCCGAATGACCTAAATTTTGCAAATACGTCACAAATGACACTACGAACCTACTCCAACTTTCGAAAATTCCATTCCGACCCCGATATCAAAATTTCCACTGCCGATCGAAAAATGCCAAATTTTCAATTTCGCCAATTCAAGCCTAATTCTACCACGGACCTCCAAATCACATTCCGAATGCGCTCCCAAGTCCAAAATCACCTAACAGAGCTAACCGAACCATCAGAATTCCCATCCGAGATCGTCTACACATAAGTCAACATCCGGTTGACTTTCCAACTTAAACTTCTAACTAGGAGACTAAGTGTCTTATTTCACTCCAAAACCACTCCGGATCCAAACCAACTAACATGATACTATGAAATACAGTTGAGGAACACATAAAGAAGCAGAAATGGAGGAAACGGGGCTACAATTCACGAAACGACCGGCTGTATCATTACAGACAATTTGTTCATTTTGCTTCTTCAAACAATACAATAAGTATTGATATGCGCAGAATATAAATGTTGCTTGTATAAATAAAGAAATTCAGTTAGACCATCATCAGGAGGATTATCCGAGAAGTCTTCTATAGAGGGTCAATGAGAAGCCAACTAAATACAGCTCTTGAAAAACTTAATTACTATCATGTTTAGTGCAGTCTATGAACTTGGTGGATTCGGGTAGTTAAGGATATGATTAATAGTATTTTTGCTTCACATCTTTGGATGAAATTCAGGTGCAGTTGTATGTACAGAATGTTACTTGGTAATAAAAATTTTATTGACCAAAAAAAGGAAAAAGTTCTTCTAAATTTAATTATTTAACACAAGGAAGTTGCATTTCTTTTCTATTGAACTCATAATTTTCATAGTGCCTCCGGCAAAGAAATCACCGTACATTTTGAAAATTTTGAATTTTATCAATACTTTTTTTAGCCCGTCTAACGGTTAAGAAAATTTGAAGGAACACGTTTGAAAAGTTACTTCCTAATATGAAAGAACACATCTTTTCAAATAAACTTCCCCTATTTTTCTTTCTGATTAAATAATTATCTAATATATATATATATATATATAGAGAGAGAGAGAGAGATTAAAATCGATAATGGATACTATTGCATGTTTAAATTTGTAAGTAAAGGTAGCTAATAACCATGGTTGAACCTTTACAATTAATATGAATAGAAAAAAAATTCATATTATACAAGAGTTATTATTATGCAATCAATTAAAAGTACTGCAAGTCTTTCCGGTACCAGTACAAGGACGCGATTGGAATTATGTAAGAATCCCGGCTTTCGGTCAACAAAGCCGAAAGTCAATTTTTCTACCACATCATGCAATCTTATTCCAAAAGTACACTCGGAATAAATGTAATTCCAAAAGACACATACGATGGCGTTGAGGAAGTATTCATCCATTTGTATCCTCCTATATATTTGTTTTTAATTTTATATTTTTTTAAACAAAAAATTAAGATTTTGAAAAGGATATTGTTGTCAGTATTTGTTTGCAGGAGGTTGGTGCAAAGGTCCTCAAAATTACTTGTACGAAATCAGGGATTCTTGCCGATGATGATTAGATAGACTAGAGATGTATACAATTTTTTAGTCAACATATTATCAATACTCTTGATATATATCAAGAATTTCAAAAGTAGAATCAGCTGTATTTACCAGGTTTTTTCCTTTCTGTAAATAGTATTGCTAGACCTTTAGTACATGAGATTTAATTATTAGATCTACCATTTAACATTGAAATATATAACCAGTCTTGATAACTTTGTTTATATATCTGCCCAAAATACCTCGAAATTCCTATGCATATTCCTGAATTAAATGATTGAGAGTAGAAGCAAAGCAAGAAAATGGCAAGGAAAGAAAGCATAGAATTTGTGTTATTCTACACTCAGTTAGGATCACTCTAGGAGGTAATGATCTTATAATATGGCCATTATATTTACTAAGGGTATACATAGGTCGTGTTAGTTTGGATTTTTTAATTACCAAACCAAATCAATTATGACGGGTTATTAAATCTAAAGACCAAACCAAATCAATAAAAGTCGAATTTTTTAATCTCGATTTTTCTCAAATTTTTCGTATTTTCGGATTTTTTTTCCATAAAATCTTCATCACACAAAATATAAAATTTGTGCTCCAAATATTTTTTTTAATCCAAGACAGAAAAAAGGATCTTTTTCTCGTGCAGGGTACAATTATTACAGTTCGACACTTAGAACCTGCCAATGCGTGGAGGCTTTTATTGTCATTTCCTCGTATATCTTTCTCTGTCCCCCGATTCCTAATCTCATTCATCACCAGCTGCCAACCACTGCGTAAACTTCTAGTGGGGCCTCTCAATAACTCCGACATAATTCTTAACCCTAAAGACCTCTACCAAAATAACACTTGGTCTTTAAATAAAATTTCCTTTAACATTCCTCCTATAGTAAACAAAATTAATTCCATTACCATACCATCTAGTAGTCTTCCAGATGGAGTTTATTGGGGGAAAACACAGATGGTTCCTTCTCCACTAAGTCTTGCTGCAAGCTCATTAACGAGTCTTGTAGTAATCAAGAGCACAATAAAGATATTTGACTGGATTTGGTCTCTATCTTGTCCCAACAAGATAAAAAAATTCTATGGCTTTGCTACCATGACAGAAATCCATGTAGAAAGCAATTACAATACATTAGCATAAATATAGACCCAACTTGCTCATGCTGTAGAAATGGAGAAGAAGACATTCATCACATTTTTGTATATTGTGATATGGCCAGAATTTTTTGGCGTTCAATCCTACGCCCGCCTCCAAACAAAACAAGCAACAGCCAAAATAATCACGGGTTGCTTATCTAAAAGCCCTCAACCCCCATGGCTTTAACTTAACCACAATGCCCAGCATAATAAGTTGGGAAGATATCTTCCCGTTCATCGGATGGAATCTTTGGCTGAACAGGAACAACAACAACAGCAACAACATTAACAATACCTCACACCCTTTATTGGCTTCTTCTGTTGTAAAACAAGCCCTAGAATACAAACTTTTCACTGACAAGAAAAACAACACTTTAAAAAGAATTCCCCTATGTATCAGTTGGCATGCAACACCCAAGGGTTGGTACAAAATTAATGCCGATGGTACTTTTCGAAGCGGCAAACCAATCTCAGGGATTGGTGGGCTCATCAGAAATGCTGATTCAAACTGGACATTTGGATTCATAAAGTCAATTCATGCAGATTCTCCCATCTATGCAGAACTCCAAGCAATCCATCAAGGATTAACCATTGCAGTAGAATACATTTTTACTCCATTAGAAGTGGAAACAGACTCCACAGATGTAATATATTACCTCCAAAAAGGATACATGACTTACAACAATATTATTTTTTATTATAGGTGGTTAATGGCCAAAATGGGGCAAGTGGTTCTCAAGCATAACTGCAAGGAAGGGAATGAAGCTGCTCATCAAATGGAAAGGGAATGTTCAAAATAGTCTACCATAAATAAACTTTTGTGTTATGATGTTTCACCACTTTTTGTCGAGTCCGGGATGCTGGAGGACAAAAGAGGTGTTGATGTAGTACAAACTATATTATTTTATGTTTGTAAAAGTTTAGTTGAACTAGGCAATGTTGATGCCATCCAGAGTATCTGTGGAAGTAGCAATGCTACATGTAATAGTGCTACACTAACTTAGTCTTTATAAATAAAATGCTCGCATTCTCAAAAAAAAAAACCGCATTTTCACACACACACATGCTGAAGGGAACCAATGATCCAAAACCTTGTTCACCATTTGCAATAGTTACTTGGTATCTTCTGAAGGCATGTCCTAAATCTCTCTCTCTCTCGCTCTATCTCTCTCTTTCTCTCTCGCTCTCTGTCCTTTTTTTTTTTTTGCTTCAATTGTTTATTCTGGTTATTTTTTGGACTCATTTCTAATTCAAGGTGGATCTTGATTCCAAAGTTGTTAAGGGTATTAAAGTAATTTTGTGTACAACTTGTGGAGATTTTGGTTCTGAATTTGAGCTTGTCTGAGTTTATTTTTGTTTGATTTCTGCATTTGAATTACTGTGGTATGATCAAATGCGGATCTCTTTTTCTCAAAGTTTAAATCTTTGTCGAGTTTGTTTTAGTTTAATTGTGATTTTTATTTTTTGTTATCGTAACTATTCGATTCTTAAAGTTTATATCTTTTTGTTAACATAACGATTCAAATTAAAACCAAGCTGCCAATTGACCTTTTAGAGGCGAACATAAGTACATTCATTTTCACGGCTAAGTTTTTTCTAATCAGTGGTTTTCTAAGGTTAATGTTTAAAAAAAATGAAATTTTGTACACATATTTAATTTTTATACTGTTCTTGCGGAAAAGATACATTTATCTTTGTTCTATCTCTTGCTTTAGAAATTTCAAATAAAGCAGAATGGATTTCCAGTTCGTTGGATAGAACTCTGCTTGAAATGGTGTTATAGAATGCAAGTGAAAGAGGTACCAATGAAATTAGTCGAGCTACACGAAAGCTGACTTGAATACTACGATTATGAAAATGTTGACAATACCGGACCACTTGACAGCAACTAAAAGGATTACCTATTGGGCTTCATAGTTTGTACATAGCTTGGGCCTCTCTGTATACCCGACCAATTTTTATTTTAGTAATTCATTTTGTATATACACCACTAATATAGAACATTCTTGACATAACAACAAATAAGAAATTCATTTCTCTTTACCAAATATTTTGCTCTTCTCGTTTCTCTCTCTTTGCTCATTATTAGAGTTTTAATTCTAAATCAAATCTTCCGATTACACTAAGGATCAATGAATTAATTTGGTATCAGAGCCTTTTATCGATCGTTTATGACTCTACATGTCCACTGACGGTGTTTGTTTCTCAAGTTCGTTTCTTGACGAAATTTTCACTGCCAGAAAATTTCTGGATTTTTTCTTCGATTTTGATCGATTTGGTCATAATTGATGAATGTTAGAGAGTATCATAGATTGTGAGTTATTTCTCAGGTAAATTTGTGGCTCGATTCTGCGGAGTACATTCATCCCCAATTTTCGACTCTACCGGTGGTATCAAAGGTCATGGTGGATTTTCTATGATAAATTGAAGGTCTTTCTTCTTTAGGTTGCAAAGAAGGAATGTAATATCCTTTCACTACTAAATTTTAGGTTGAAGTGTTGGTAGATATTAATTTTATGTTTTTCTGTACAAAATTGACATAACTAGGGTTTAGAAATGAGTAGTCCTGAAGTGAGTTCATCAACTACAGCGGATAGTTTTGATGATTTTACTATACCTCCCTCCCATCCTTTCTACATACATCCCTCACATAGTCCAGGTGCTCACATGGTATCCCCTTCCTTTGATGGCAATGATTTTGTCATTTGGTGCAAAAACATGCTTACTACTCTCTCTGATAAAAAAAATTAGGTCTCATCACTGGTAGGGTATCCAAACAACAATTTAAATCTTCTTATTATCATTTCTGGGAAAGGTGCAATGACATGATCATTGCATGGATAACAAACTCATTGTCTAGGGATATAGCCAATAGTGTAATAGATTTTGACACTGCTAAGGATATAGGGTGTGACATTAATGGGAGATTTGGTACTTCTAATGGTTCTAAGTACATTCAACTTCAAAGGGAAATTAGTCTCACTTCCCAAGTTCATTTGGATATTGCTACCCTTTTACTAAACTGAGAGGTCTTTGGGATGAGCTTAGTACTGTTTATGTTGGTCATGTTTGTTCCTGTGGTGCTCTCCCCAAATTTATTGAAGAGCAGAAAATTTATCAATTCCTTAGTGGTATGTATGAGTCTTATTCTACCTGCAATAGCAACATCCTTATGATGCTTTCCCTTCCTTTCCTGAGTAAGGCATACTCCATGCTACAACATGATGAGAAACAAAAAGAGACTTCTACTCCCGTCCCTGGTTTCTCCCATGATTCTGCCTCCTTCAATGCTTCAACTGGTCTTATGAACACTTCTAGGGGTTTTAATCAGAGGGTCCAATTTGATGCAAAGAGAGACTCTAGTTCATCTTCCAAACTTTCATGCATATATTGTAAGAAGCCTGGGCATACCATTGATAATTGCTATAAGCTACATGGCTTCCCCTCAGATTTTAAGTTTACCAAGAATAGGAGGTCTGCAACTTGTGATCCGTCTGATGGACATCTTCTGGACTCTGCCTTTACCAAACCAAATTCCTCTGATGACAGTGGACATTGATTCAATAAAGAACAATACCAACATCTCATGACTCTGCTTCAACAAGTCCAAACATCCCCTACTCTTCATTTTGAGAATGTTGTCACTGAAAATAAAGGATTTGTCAACTTTGCAGGTGTGTACAATCACCGTGAGGTGCATTCAGCTTCTTTTCATGCATGTGCGGTTTTACAATTAGGTTTAAACCCCTAGATCATAGATTCTGGTGTCACCAATCATATGATACCACATAAACACTTACTTCACAATCTTAAGCCTTTAGTAACACCTTTTCTAATTACTCTATGTCACGACCCTAACCCCAAACCCGATCGTGATGGCGCCTCTCGTGAAGACAAGGCTAGCCAACTAAACCCAATTCACTTGTTAAAGCAGTTAAGCAACATAAAAGCAGTCTGAAACATGATTTAATGATAATAAGTAGCGGAAATACAACCCGACACAGCCCTAACCGGGGTGTCACAAGTCACGAGCATCTAATAACACTAAGTCCTCAAATGTAACTACTATAAATACTGAACTAAGGACATAAAGGAAATATATAGGGAGGAGCTCCGGGCTGCGAACGCTATCAGGTACCTAAAGACTCCTCGAGATCTGCCTGAAGCTGGAATGAATTAGCACTCGGGGGCGGGACCAGCTACGCCTGAATCTGCACACAGGGTGTAGGGAGTAAAGTGAGTACTCCAACTCAGTGAGTAACAAATGAAAATAACGACTGAAAGTAAGAAAACACGTAAGGCACACGACATTCTATAATGAAGTAGTAAATATCATTTAAAAGCAGTAAACCAGTGAAAAATCAAGTAAAACTTCTTTCAACAAGTAAACAAGTAATTGGCAGGTAATTAAGGTAAAGTAAAAATAGAAGTTCGCCTCTCGGGCACAGTATCAGCAAATCCGCCCCTCAGGCAACATATCACAACAATACTAGCCCCTCGGGCTCAATCTCACATCACAATAGGTACCCGCGCTCACTGGGGGTGTACAGACTCCTGGAGGGGCCCCTTACGGTCCAAGCGCAATAACAAGCCATCTCGCGACATCAAACTAGGCCCTTGGCATCATATCAATCAAGCCACCTCGTGGCTCACATATCTCAGGTCCTCGGCCTCAAATCAGTATCAGTGTTTCCTCATAATATAGGCTTTCGGCCTTACTCAGTCAAAAATTCTCACAAGCCCCTCGGGCAATAGTAAATAGTGTTTCTCAGCCCAAACATCATTTAAAATGTCATTTAAGTATTAAAACTAAGTAAACATGGCTGAGTAGTAAAATAATGGAAAATAACATGACTGAGTTCAAGTATAAAGTCAAAACAGTGAGGAAATATCAATAAAAATCCCCGAAGGGTTCAAATAGTTGGCACTAGGCCCAAATATGGAATTCAACCCAAATAATGATGATAGCAAATAGTTTTCAATCAAATACGCGGTAAAATCATCAATTGGGACGGACCAAGTCATAATCCCCAATAGTGCACGACCCCACGCTCGTCATCAAGCATGTGTCTCACCTCAATATAGCACTACGATGTGCAATCCAGGGTTTCAAACCCTCAAAACATCATTCACAATCATTACTCACCTCAAACCGGTCAAATCTCTAACTCGCGACGCCTTTGCCCCTCGAATCGGCCTCTACGCGCATCGAATCTATCCAAAATCAGAACGAGAACGTCAAAATATGTTAAAGGAATAAAGCCCAAGCGAAAACAATCAGTAAAGGGCACAAATCCTGAAATTACCAAAACTGACCCCCAGGCCCACGTCTCAAAATTCAAAAATTCTCGCACCAATATATTCATTATCTCCCCACGAGTTCATACATATCAAGAGTTCTCAAATCCGACCCCAAATGGTCCTTCAAATCCTCAATTAAAGGCCTAAGTTTCCAAGCCCTAGTTTTCCCCAAATTTCACCCTTGATTTCCTTAATTTCTAACTCTAATCCATGGAATAATAGCATAGGAATGAGTTTTAAGTCCAAATCCCTTACCTCAACGAAGTCTCCTTGATTTCCCTCTTTCAAATCGCCCAAAAAGCTTCCAAGCCAAAGTCAAAATGGTGAAATAGCTCAATTTCGCGAAATGAAATAACTTATATGTTCTGCCCAGGCCTTTCTGCATCTGCGGTACCGCATTTGCGGTCATTATTCCGCTTCTGCGGAAATCACTTAACTGGCCACATCCGCATCTGCGATTATCCTTCCGTATCTGCGACTCCGCAGATGCGATCCACTTAGCCGCTTCTGCGGTCCCTGACAAATCCCCATAATCCGCTTCTGCGGCACTCTCTCGCACATGCGGCGCCGCACCTGCGGTCCACAATCCGCGGGTGCGAAAATACCAGAAGCAGCAAATTCAGCTGCTGCAACAAAATTCCAACTTCTCCGTTAACCATCCGAAATCACCCCGAGGCCCCCGGGACCTCAACCAAAGGCACAAACATATCCCAATACCTTATTCAAACTTGTTCCAATCATAAAAACACCTCAAACAACATTAAATCACCCAAAACACATCGGATTCAAGCCAAACTTTCTAAAATCTTCCAAATTATGCTTTCGATCAAAAACCCAACCAAACCACGTCCGAATGACCTAAAATTTTGCACACATCCCAAATGACACAACGGAACTACTACAACTCTCGGAATTCCATTCCGACCTCTATATCAAAATCTCGCCTATCAACCAGAAATCGCCAAAATATCAACTTCGCCAATTCAAGCCTAAATCTACTACGAACCTCCAAAACCCATTCCGATCACACTCCTAAGTCATAAATCACCTCCCGAAGCTAACCGAACCATCATAACTCACATCCGAGCCCTCTAGCACATAAGTCAATATCTGGTTGATTTTTTCCAACTTAAACTTCCTTAAAAGAGACTAAGTGTCTCAAACCTTACCAAAATCATTCCGGATTCAATCCGACCAATCCGACACCACAAAACACGGATAACAAAGCATAAAGAAGCAAAAATGGGGAAAATGGAGCGATAACTCATGAGACGACTGGCCGGGTCATCACATCCTCCCCAACTTAAACAAACGTTCGTCCATGAACGAATCAAGAAACATACCTGAAGCCTCAAACAGGTGATGATATCTCCTCCGCATCTCCCGCTCGGTCTCCCAGGTAGCCTCCTCTACGGGCCGACCTCTCCACTACACTTTCACTAAAGCTATATCCTTTGATCTCAACTTACGAACCTGATGACCCAAAATAGCTACTGGCTCCACATCATAAGTCAAATCATCATCCAACTGAACCGTGCTGAAATCTAGAACATGAGACGGATCCCTAATGTACCTCCGGAGCATAGAAACATGAAATATCGGATGCACACTCGACAAGCTGGGTGGCAAAGCATGCTCATAAGTCACCTCCTCAATCCTCTAAAGCACCTCAAAAGGCCCAATGAACCGCGGACTCAATTTCCCTTTCTTTCCAAATCTCATAACACCCTTCATGGGCGAAACCTTCAATAGAACCTTCTTGCCAACCATGTAGGACACATCACGAACCTTTCTGTTAGCATAACTCTTTTGCCTTGACTGCACTGTACGAATCCTATCCTGAATCACCTTCACCTTCTCCAAAGCATCCTGCACCAAAATTGTCCCCAATAGCCTAGCCTCACCGGGCTCGAACCAACCAACTAGAGATATACACCGCCTCCCATACAAAGCCTCATATGGAGCCATCTGAATACTCGACTAGCAGCTGTTGTTATAAACAAACTCTGCAAGCGGTAGAAACTCATCCCATGACCCTCCAAAGTCAATAACACAAGCACACAACATGTCCTCCAATATCTGAATAGTGCGGTCGGACTGCCCGTCCGTCTGAGGATGAAAAGTTATGCTCAACTTCACCTAAGTACCCAACTCTCTCTGCATGGCCCTCCAAAACTGTGAAGTAAACTGAGCACCTCTATCTGAAATGATGGAAACTGGGACACCATGCAAGCAAACAATCTCCCGGATATAGATCCCTGCCAACCGCTCTGAAGAATAGGTAGTACACGCAAGAATAAAGTGTGCGGACTTGGTCAGCCGATCCACAATCACCCAAATAGCATCGAACTTTCTCAAAGTCCGTGGAAGTCCAACAACAAAGTCCATAGTGATCCTCTCCCACTTCCACTCGGGAATAACCATCTGCTGAAGCAAGCCACCCGGTCTCTAATGCTCGTATTTCACTTGCTGACAATTTAGACATCGAGCCACAAATCCCACAATATCTTTCTTCATTCTTCTCCACCAATAGTGCTTCCTCAAATCCTGATACATCTTCGCGGCACCCGGATGAAT